CTTTGAAAACCGGCATTCAATCTGCCGATCGTAGCTCGTAGCTCGTAGCCACTCGTATCCGAGCCCATATCTCCCGATACCGCAGGTGTCTTGCCTCAGCGCGGCTTACACTGCTCAGATTAAATGTCGAATTCGGCCGCATGTCACACCGTATCATAACAGCTCAAGTAATCAAGTAAATAGTAGTAAAACATAGCTGTGAATAATTTATTGTTAAAACTATCAATTATAATCTAGAATAAATCACTTTATCAAATAAGATTTATGAGTGGTCCAAGTTGTCGACATTATCATATTGCACTTTTCATAAGGTTAGTCGTGAAATATACGAATATTACTAATTATTTCCTTCTAGGGTGATAAATACTAAAGTAGACACAAGAAACAAAATAACTGTTAAAAGATAACATTTAAATCTCGTTCTCGCAGTGAATAATTATTGCTAAATCTACCTGCAATGTAGAGTGTCGTGCGATCGCAGTGTCTCAGCTGCCAAGCCGCTGTTTAAACAACATTTATTGGAAGTCGTAATATCGTGGAGAGGTTCGGGAAGCAAGCCATATCTCCCGTTACCTCAGACGTCTCACATTAAACCTCTGGCTCAGTTACACTCGCTAAGATTAAATGTTCAATAATGCCATATGTTACACCATATCGTAATTCTTAATTCTAATACACCTTATTTAGAACCTTATATGAAACTTTTATTTATTCCATTGATGAATGAAGTTTATCTTAACAATTTTTTATCGATTAAAATGTAGATACTCAAAAATCCAATGAAAATGTATTTGTTTCACTCGTTTTACGACCCTACTATTAACATTCAAAGTTACTTTTTGGTATTCCAACAACGTCTATATATCCACGTCTCAATAATTTTCTTTCGTTTGCTTTTCATACTAACCATCAATATCAATGCGAGCATTACAATACACTACGGTGTAATTGAAGCCACCTAATCCGAACTTATGAAGACAAAGCTGTGTCGTTCCTTCTCGTTTCATCAGCCGGCGTCCAGGTGAGCCTCTATCTGATACTTGATTATACAATATTTATAACAAACATTGTTAATGTTAATTCTAGGAATTACGTTCTTCTAACCATAATTATCACGGGCGTCGCTCGCAGATGATGCCTATATCTAGGTATTGTAGGAGGCTATAATAAATACGGTCTTCTATCTGTTTTACCTTTTTCGATTCTGTAGACCTTACTTGTAGACCTAACAATTTTTATAGAACAAAAATAGTGATAGATTGTAGTATTCTGTTGTAACGCCTAATCGCTGGGCAGCGGCACTAGATGAGTTGGTTTTCACATTGCGTCAGGGCAATGTAAGCGTGTGTTTTTATGATAATCGTAAGATAATTGAAATATATGGGTTTAATACGATTGCGAGAAGAAAATAATTGTACCGTAAGTGTGTTGATACAATATTTCATCAAAGTAGTGAAGTGGGTGACAGGGGTTGGAAGTGGGACGGAAGAATTCCTAAACGTTAGGGTCAAGTGGTGACACACAACAAAGTATCTTGTCAGGATAAAAACGTAGTCATTAGATAAGAACGTTATTTATTGTAGCAATTGAATATACATGTGATTTATGTTGAGACAACGCAATAAACACAAACCTTTAACATAATTTGACGTTGCACTTAATTTAATCTGGTATTTTTCACAATGACACGAAGTCTTGTCGATTGCGATTTTAGGTAATTCCCCTGAATATTAATACGATAATGGAATCGTCAAGATCTTCACGAGATAAAAATCCAATCTGCAAATTACAGCTCTTTGAAATTTAAATTCGAATTTCCACCGAAGAATTTCCTTTTCCAACAAATTATTATTTTAAATTAGTGTAAGTGATGTGCAATAAATATTAGAAAATAATCCATTCTTGTTAAATTATTTGTAAAATTTAATACCATAACTAACCTAATGTAATGTTACAGTGAGTTTTCACTGTCGTAGCACTGTAGCTCTACTATTTTCTTTGCCTTAAAAACAGAAATAATAGTAATGTTCTCACATGCCCCTATAGTTCAAATTCACAGTAAAAGCCATACCAGGAACATTATGTAGACCAGCAGTAGTTGTCAAAGGGCATTTGTTCCGCCGGGCGACGTATCTGCATCGATCTATACCTCGCTCAGTGCGTTACATACACAAAGAACCATTCAAAGGCAACCTATAGGACAAACACTAACAGAGACTAACTTCCACCCTTCAATGTTATGTACAACATAACATTATTTGAAGGATGGAAGTCCAAATTTATTCGTCCATATTTTAATAAAGGTGAATTTAGAAAGGACAGCATAAAGTATCTCTAATTTATGTAATAAACTACGTTAACGAGCTATAGCGCGGTTAGAACTGTCCGTTAAAAATACGAACAGGTGCACGATCTAGTGATTAACGATTTTCAACTCTGTGGACTTAACATACGGTTGTTTCCGCTTGTACAATCAAGAGCACCTTTTAACAATTTATAATGTTTCAACTGGTCCAACTTTTTAAGCACTTTGGGAAATTTCGCAGCTTTCCTACGTCATTACGGCGTTCTAAAAATGAACTCGTTCTGTAGCTCTGTACACCTGGAATTGTGCTTCCTTCGGTTTTGTGTTAACAAACTTTATAAAGTGAAAAGTTAACTAACTACGTTTTCTTTCATCAAGGTCTAACACCAGTACTGAGTTTTTCTAATATTTACTTAAAAGATAGCAACAGTTTCTATTTTCTTAACACATAAACAAAAGAGAATCAATAACATCCATAATCGATGTTTTAAATTAATTAATTTGTATAGAATAAAGGTAATTAAATTGAAATGTTTGTATGAAGTTATTCATTTATCAAATTAAATTACCTTTGAATACCTGGTTTGATGAATGTTTATCATTCCATGATTGTAGATATATAGATGAAAATCCATCCATTTGTTTGAAACGCCAGATAATATTTATATCTGAAGCATTTATCTAGCACTCCACTACATATAAGATGAGATATCCTGTTTGTTTTCAACCGGATATTGCAAATTAGAATATATCAATCAGTTTACTGAAATACACACATTTATAATATCATATTATTTAAAATACGTTTTGCAGCCTCTATAATTTGTGTTAAGCAACTGTGTTGCATTCTGTGTGCATGCGTATAACAACACTCAACCACGCATTTCTCTGAAGTCATCTGACGGCTGTCGGGTTGGTGGCTGAAGACTGTCGACTGGCTAGCCGCTGGGATGCCGCGACTCGCCGCTGGCGCGCAGCCAACGTACTCGTAGTTTGTGAAATTATTAAAAGGGAGCGGCGCTCGCGTCGCAGTAACTTGTTCAACTGCTGCCAAGTTATTTGGCTTCGAATCCATGCTTTTTATTGCGTGTCGAAGTTTTGATAAATTGCTTGTTAAATATTTTTCAAGTAAATTTACGAGCCTAATTAGCGAAATTTACGTTATGTAAAACAGATTGAGATTTGTCACTAACTTTATGTTTACGTATTAAGTGCTCTTTATAACATGAGAGTTTTATACAATTGCGTACCTCTCCCACCTACCTCTAGTTATCTTAGAAACTAGACAAGTACTTCATAAAATTATGGTTACTGTACGACTAATCTATAATGTCGCTTCTATCAAAATCTTGTTAAAATCTTTAAACACTTAATTAAGGTAATATGGTTCCACAGTAATGGTTACAAACGACGGGTGAAGTCAGACCGATAAGCATGTACGAACTACAACCTAATTCCGGCCAAATTTGTTAGCTTCACACACTAAAACTGCCAAATTTCATATTTGTTATCTCGCAGTTTGAACATATCGGGCGCTCGATCTCCGGCAGCGGTGGGCTGGCGGGTGTAACGGGCTGGGGCGCGGGTGCTCCTAATTCCCGAATATAATGGGATCCCGCAATCGGGTTACCGGGACCTGACGGCTCCGCGCCAAACAATAGCCTGCAGATATTTGTGAGCTCCGAGCTCAATGCTGGAATTTTGAATTACGTTCCTGTATTGTCAGACCTTTTAATGTCATCCGAGCAAATACACTAAACAACACGGAGACGAAATCAAAGGTAGACTACGTAGGAAACGTAGATCTATATCTCGTTTTCCACATTGTAATTGGAATTAATTCCAGAGATGTTTAGAGATTGTGGTTTATTGACGTAGGAATTATTTTTTAATTAATTCTTTATATTTTACTGAAACTGCTCACATTGTGTGTAGTGTTGTTTCACGTGTTTAAAACTAAAAACATTCAGAATCGAAACAAATCGTTTATATAAATTTCATCAGAGCCATTCCTTTTCCGGGATAGAGATAAACTAAACGGCCACTAAACTCACTATCAGTGGCCGGCTTATTCAAAGCGAGCGGCAACAACACAAACAAGTCCTCGGAATAGTTCAAGATTATGTTAAATGGGTTCGGCGGCGCAGGCGCGGCACCGCTTATAAAGCAATGCCAACTCTACAATGCACCGCGGCCACAGAGCAGCAAAGTCAGCAATACAGCAACGCAAATGATTTTTACAATCTTTTTCAACTAACAAACTTAAGCATGTTAAAGATAGGAGCACATACGCCTTCAGTTTGAAGTATAAGGTTGATCTGAGAGAGGAGGATTGAAGAAGAGTATTAGAATAAGAACAGAATTGGTATTCTTTGTATTTTAGGCTGTGCCAAAGGCTATGCCGGGGCGGATGGCGAAAGGGTCTCGCGCTGTCCGGCAAAGCCTCGTGATATTGACATTACCGGCTGCTCGCGTGCTGTCGTGCCTTGCGGACTTTATGTACACTTTGTATTTCATACTTTACGGACATACTCATCTTATAACTACTTTACAACAAGTTTTCTTTTTTCCGTTCAAAACGTTACATGATGCGACTTAAGTTTTCTATAACTTATAATAATCCTTTGAAATGAAAAGTGCGTTTCGATTATTTTTGTCGAAGTTTTTTTAGGAAACTAAGAATACAGGCCGTGAATAAAAAATACAGTTCTTTACTTCTGTTTTATACAGTTTAAACAAAAAACGATGGTTTATTTTAACCGATGATAAATAAAAGACAACAGAGGACTTAATTACTTTTTACCTGCTAACTTCTTCTTGAGCGAGAGCGGCATGTCTGGCGGCGGTGGGCGCGGCATTGCCGTGAACACCTTGAATCCGTCGTAAATGAACCACTGCAGCCCCGTGAGCGTGCCGATCATGATGATGCGCGCCACCAGACCGCGCCAGATACCAAAGAAGCCAAGCTCGGCCACCAGCCCACCTATCGAAGCACCCGGCTCCTTATTCAGCTTGGAGACGAGCGTGTCCGCTGGATGCGACACGATAGCGCACAGCACGCCCGCTATGTAGCCTGCTGTAAACGTCACCACCAGCTGCTCCTCTTTGGTGCACTGGCTCCGCGGCTTCGGTACAAAGTGCTCGTACAGCATCTCGATCGTCTTCTCGAAGGAGGAGAATTTCATCATCGTGTAAGGGATCTGACGCGCCCAGAGCGGCACCAGCCCCTTGTAGAACACGCCTATGCCCTCCGTGGACATCATGTGCGGCATGGCAACGAGCATCTTGGATGTGTAGCCCGGCGTCGTCTGGATGCGCACCTTAGTCGCCTCGAAGGGCGAGAGGAAGACGTCGGCACAGAACTCCGCGGAGGCAGCGGCGGCGAGGTAGAGGTAGGTGCGATAGAGGTACGCATTTTCCTCACCTGTCATAAGCGCGAACTTGTACTTG